ACAGGAGAGGAAGACCCTGGATGAGATGGATTGACACAGTGACTAGGATAATGGGGACAAGTGTGTCAGAGACAGTGAGATTGGCTCAGCACACAGCAGGGTTCAGAGCTACAGTTCACAGGGTTGCAACCACAGTCAACTCAATTGCACATAATAATAACAACAGCAAGATAATTCTTTTCACTTACCTGCATCTACCATTAACACCCATGGTAGCAGCAGTCAAGAAATCAAAAGAAGTTGATTGGGAAAATTTGCTTTCAAGGACCTCTCCAAAAGGCTAAAGAACAACAAAGTCAGTTTAAAGACTAAGATGTATCTCATTCAAGCTAAGGTATTTCCAATTGTTTCCTCTATATCTTAGATTTGAACAATGAATAAGGGAAAATGAAATAGAATTGATGCCTTCATAACTAACATATTGACTTCTTCCCAGTCCAAGTATAGGTTTCATACAAGCACACTGGGATTTTAAATTTTGGGGTTTTGTAATAAAATTTATTTTATTATATTTTGTGTGTATCCCGTCAAATCAGATCTAACTGGTACAGGAGGAGATTGTCCCTCCTTCTCCAGCAGAGCATCTGGTGGATTTGATCACTTTTCTCTTTGAAAAGTAAGAAAAATTTAAAATTCTTTCATTATTATACAGTACCTCCCCAGTCCACTCCACTATGCAGCTTTCATTCTAGATTCTTGTCATGACAATAATCTCCAATCAAATTCCTTTTAAATAGTTCTCTCCCTCATCTGTTTCAGTGTATACATTATTTATCCCCTCTTTTCTTAGTTCCCCCCCAACCCTGATGTCAGTCCTGCTTTACAGAAGTGGTATTATGCAGTATTTATCCTTTTGTGACTGAGAGATTTCATTCAGCATAACATCCTCCAGGGTCACCCATCTTGTATACTGTTTTATTAGTTCCTTGTTTTTCAATGCAGCGTAGTATTCCATCGTGTGAATATACCACAGCTTCTCTATCCATTCGTTTGTTGCTGGGCACTTGGGTTGTTTCCAACTCCTTGCTATTGTGAACAAAGCCGCAATAAACATGGGTGTGCATATATCTGTGTGGGTATCAGTTATGGTCTCTGGGGTATATTCCCAGTAGTGGAATTGCTGGGTCAAATGGTATCTCTATTTGCAACTGTTTGAGAAAGCACCACACCGCCTTCCACAGTGGCTGCACCATTTTACACTCCCACCAACAGTGAATAAGGGTTCCCGTTTCTCCACAACGTCGCCAGCATTTGTTTTCTGCTGTTGAATTTTGCTATTCTGACTGGGGTGAGATGGTATCTTAGAGTTGTTTTGGGACTTGCCTATTCTGAATAGATCCTTAGAAGTACAGTCTGGTCGTGTGTCTGGCAGCTTTGCCTCGGCAGGGTGTCCTCGAGGTGGCCCCACGGGGAGCACGTATCCTTGCCCGTCCCTGGCTGGGTACCAGGATCTCTGCATGGATGCGTTTGCTCTTCCGGTCAAGCGTTCAGGCAGGAGCTGCCCTGACCTCTGGCTGTGGAGAGCAGCACTGTGGTGGACGTTGTGCACGGGCACCCTCTGGAGGCCCCGTGTGCGCTTCGATTACGTATGAGGGTCTCCTGTGTGGACATTCCTCAACCCAGACTGTCGGCAGGTGGTTCCAGACGAGCCTCCACTGGTTTCCGAGGCTGTAAATCCTCTTGGGAGGAGACTGCCCATCCTTCTCCACTGAAGCACCTGGTGGACTCCAAGGGCCAGCCTGTGGCTAGCAGTCCGCCTGACAAGTCACACTGAATGTGGGGGGGGGGCACCAGCGAGGAAAGAGCTGACTCTTTGGGTGGCTCTGCCCCCTCTCACCCCCCGCTGCAGGAGGAAAACTCACTCTTTATCATGACCAACGTGATCGTAACCATGAACCAGACCCAGGGCGTGTGTCCTGAGGTAGGTGGCTTCTCGGGGGCACCCTGTCTGCACCAGGCTGGGGACGCGTGCGGCCAGGCCCGGGAACATGCCCGCCCTTCTCTTCTTTCTCCAGATTCCAGATAAGACCACGACGTGCGAGTCGGACGACAACTGCACCGCGGGCTCGACAAGCACCCACAGCAATGGTAGGGGCACCTGCGGGCCCAGACAGCTCAGCCTGGGGGATGGGATCCCCAGGACATCCACCGTGGGGACTCCTGTGCCTGGGAAATCACATGACCGGGGGAGTCAGTGTCCTCTGAGGGGTCACCTCTGTCTCGGGAGCCCTGACCCCTCCCTGTCCTCCACTTGCCTGGGCCCTACTTCCTGGCATGTCTCTACCCCACAGCTGGACTTCCTGTGAGGGGACTTGGTGGGGGATATGCCCTTCCCTTACTGAGGGGGCTCTGAGAGGCCTGTGGCTGTGTCCCCGTCTGTAGGAGTGTCCACGGGAAAGTGTGTTCCGTTCAACACGTCCGTGAAGACTTGCGAAGTGGCTGCCTGGTGTCCCGTGGAGGATGATGGCCACGTGCCCAAGTGAGTCATGTGGGAGGGTCCTCGGTCACCCGCAGATAGAGGGGGTACTTTTGTGTCCTGGTTTTAAACACCTTATGGCTTGGGTGGAAGTGTGCAGGGGTTCGTTCCACTCGGCAGTGCCTACACCTTTGTGGTGTGACGCTGGGGCCAGTGCCCCCCATGTCCTCGCTGGCCCATCTTTTCCCACTCTTCCCGCTCACCCTGGGGCAGGTGCTGGCTGCCCTGTGAGTCTGCACGGTTGACGCCCTGGCAGGGACATGCCTCTCTGCTGAGTCTCGTTCTTTCCAGGCCTGTTGTTGGTCTGAACGATGATCTCGGGGGTGGGTGCAGGTCCAGGAGGAAGGGTGTCTGAGGGCCAACTCCGTGCTTTCTCGGAGGTCAAGATCCAGTAGCCCAGTTCACCTGCGGGGACTCACACACCTGCCTTGTGCCCCTTGGGGCAAGTACTGCAGTGCCATGGGCCACCAGCATGTGGCCATCAGACTGCAGCTGCTCCAGGGTCCTTAGGTGCCTGCAGCCAGGGGAGAGGCCCATTGTTCCCTGGGGGGGGCCTGGGTGGGAGGGCTCTCTTTAAGCTCAGAGTACAAGGTGCTACAGACAGTTTCTTGACACCTAACACTTTTAAGACATTGTGTTTTAAAAATACACAGGTCCGGGGCAGGAGGAGAGCTGGTGGGAACTGTAGTCAGTGTCAAGGAACAAGGCATGTGGCTGTTAGACCAGTTAGTTCTGTAAACATCCTGTCCAAATCACAATAAAAAAACATCAAGTATTACACTGAGGGGTGTGTGTGTGTGTTCACACCTCTTGTTGTTAGGTGCTCTCAGGACAACTCTCTATCACAGCCCTACCTGACAGAGACGTGCCCCGTCCCACACCCTCACTGCCTCACACGCTCGAGCCCCCTGTCCCGGTCACTGTCCGTCTTGCTGACCCTCCCTCCACCTTTCCCAGCCTGATGTCCTTTTCCAAGGCCTGGCCCCTCCTGAGAGTGTCCCCAAAGCATGTGAGATGAAGTCTCAGTCCCCTCCCCTCTACGAAGCACCCTGACTTTATTTCCATCAAGACAACAAATTTCTGTCTCTCACTAGTAACGTGTCCTGACTGCTTTTCAGGCCTGCTTTTCTGAAGGCTGCAGAGAACTTCACCCTTTTGGTCAAGAACAACATCTGGTACCCCAAGTTTAACTTCAGCAAGTGAGTGGGGGGGCCGGGGCTTGCTGTGTGGGGGCCCGGCTCCCTCCCAGGCATCCTGACGTCCCGTCCATCCCTTGTCTCCAGGAGGAACATCCTCCCCAACATCACCACGTCCTACCTCAAATCCTGCACCTACGACGCACGGACAGACCCCTTCTGCCCCATCTTCCGCCTGGGCGGAATCGTGGCGAGCGCGGGGCAGAGCTTCCAGGACATGGCGGTGGAGGTAGGCGAGGCCTCGCTGGTGTCCATCCGCAGGCGTGTCTGGCGAGGGAACACGCTCTGATAGCCCGTCTGCCCTGACCCGCAGGGGGGCATCATGGGTATCCAGATCAGATGGGACTGTAACCTGGACCGCAGTGCCGCCCTCTGCCTGCCCCGGTACTCCTTCCGCCGCCTGGACAACCGCGACGCCGACCACAACGTGTCCCCCGGCTACAATTTCAGGTGGGGGCATCTCCGGGCGTTGGCGGGTGGCCGGGACTGGGTTTCTTCTCAGATCTAGGTCCCAGACTCCAGGACGCCAGTGCCTGGCGGTGCCACCAGAGCTCAGGCTCCCTGTCTCGTCCAAGTGCAGGACACCTCCCTGGGGAGGCCTGAGCCACCTGGGGGAGCAAGGCGAGGCCATGGGTAGAGTGGACACTGGGCAGCCCCGGGCAGGCAGCTCTTTGATGACAAACATAACCACCGACCGTCAAGTCTGCCTGACTTTGGTGACCGGCCAGTTTCTGAGACTGTAAATCCTCGCTGGCCGGAGTGGCCCAGCCCTGCCCCCTGCCCGGCCCCCGGCAACACTCATCTGACTTCCCTCTACACTTCTGCCCAAATGGGGAGTTTCCTTCCAGAGGAATCATAGTGTATGTCTCTCATACATCCCTTGAAGGAGTCCTGGTAGTGCAGTGGGTTACATATCAGGCTGCTGACTGAAAGGTTGGTGGTTCAAATCCACCAGTTGCTCAGATAAAGATGAGGCCATCTGCTCCGTAAAGCCTGCAGGCGTGGGCGGGGCGGGCAGTCCTCCTGACTGTCGGGTAATGGAGCATCGGAATCAAGTCCACAGCAGAGGGAAACCTGGTCAGCATCGTGCACCCTGGTCCGGCCCCTGGCCCACAGCCGTCCGGCCGAGCAGGGACCTGGGTCTGCACCGCTTCTGTGTTGCCGTTGTCTCCCTCTAGTGACCACACACAGAGCAGCATATGTGAGGGTCATTAAACACGTAGGGTCAGCTCCTGGCCGCCTGTGGCCTGCGGGGCAGGGACGCGGCCAGGCATGTGGCCTGTTGAGGGCAGGGCCGCAGCCTGTGGCCTGGCTGCAGCGTTAGAACCGACTGTCACCCTGTCCTTGTGGAGAGCTCTGCGGAGATCCTGAGGCTTGGGGGGGAGAGGTGCAGCGGGGCATCGAGCAGGGACCCCATCCCCAGTCTGCTGACATCTCCTAGTGGCTCTGGGGCTGGAGTGGACCTGCCCCTGAGGCTCCAGGCCTGTGGGCTGCCGGGGAGCAGTGCACACCCTTCTCCTCGACCGGTGGGGGTGGACCCCTGCCTGGTGCCTGGCAGCCAAACCCTAACCACCCACGGCTCCAGCAGGGCTCGTGGCGGGGTGGCTCGTGGCGGGGCGGCTCACGGCCTTCCTTCCCCATTGGGTTTTGGTGGTGGTTTTCCTCTTTCTTTCTGCCCGAGTTTTGTTGGGGCACTTTCTAAACTGAGGTAACACACGTCAGGCCACTCACCCAGGGGGTCCCACCTTCACAGAGCATGAGTTGGGGGGTTTTACTGTGGTGACAGATTGTTGCGGCCACCACGATGACCTCATCCTAGATCATTTGTCACCCCCAAAACACCACTTACTCAGCTGTCACCTCTGTGCCCCACCCCCTCACTGAACAACCAGCTATCTACTCCCTGTCTGTAGTCCCTCCTCTGTCAGCACGTCTGTCCACGGTTGCTTCCCATGAATGGAGATGTTCTTTTGTGGTTTGTATTTGGATCCCTCACTTAGCGTCCTGGCTCTGAGGTGCGTCCACTGAGCAGCACGTGTCAGAGCTTCGTTCTGTTTTACTATTGGATAGAGATCCGACTCCACGTTTTCTTTCTCACTCATCTCTCCGTGGGTCAGTGGGTCCATCTGGTGCCAGTGCTATGAGGGCTACAGCAGCCTCCCTCCGCGGCCCTGTGGTGTTGGCTGGCACTGTCCCCTCAGTGGCCAGAGCTCCCTGACGGGGGCAGGTGGCTCGGTGGCGTCAGGACGGTCAGAGCAGGAGGCGCCGGCTTGAGCTGCAGGATCCATCTGACAGCTTCCTGTGCCCTCTGCCGGCGCCCGGGCCACCTGCCGCTTCATGGCCCACGTGGGAGAATCAGGGTGCCAGGCTCAGCTGAGAGCTGCTTTAGGCGGTGCCAGGTCTGCCAGGGTCGGCGAGCTCTGCTGACCCCCGGGCAGTCGCCCCACCTGCCCGCTCTGTGTGTCTCTGAACACCCCACCATCTCCCTCTCAAGGTTCGCCAAGTACTACAGCAGCCCGGCCGGCGCCGAGCACCGGACCCTCATCAAGGCCTACGGCATCCGCTTCGACATCATCGTGTTCGGGAAGGTAGCCTCTCCAGACCTCACTGGTGGTGCCCACAACCTGGGGGTGGCCTCTCTCCCGCTGCTGGTGCCCAGGGCCAGGGGGCGGCCTCTCCAGACCCCACTGGTGGTGCCCACAACCTGGGGGTGGCCTCTTCCAAATCCCACTGTTGGTGCCCAGGGCCAGCCTCTCCAGACCTCACTGTTGGTGCCCAGGGCCAGGGGGTCCCTACCCCCAGTGAAGCTTTGTCACCTTGTCACCCGCAGGCTGGCAAGTTTGACATCATCCCCACCATGATTAACGTGGGCTCCGGCTTGGCTTTGCTAGGCGTGGTGAGTGCTTCAGACTCTTACATGAGGCCTGCTGGGCAGTGGGAACAGCCCCAGGAGAGTTCTGGTGTTTCCAGTGTCCAGTGGTGATAAAGGGAATGCAGACTGCAGCCCCTAACCCTGGCACAGGGAAGAACACGTGAAGGAATTCAGTGTTGGGGCTGGCTCGGGGGGGGGGGTGTCACCAAGGCAGTGACCACTGACCGGGATTGGGGTCACCAAGATCTCCGCCTTCACCAGTGGGAGAGGGAGGAGCTTTGGGGAGCCATGGGGCACAGGTGGGATGTGTGTGACACCAGCCCTCAGGCCACAGCCCGTGACCTCGTCCCCTCCTCCACTGTCCCTGTGCCCCCAGCACCTCTCCTGCCCAGTGAGGACAGGCCTCCCGGGAGGGGCGCTGACAGGCCTGGGCCCCAGCTCTCTCCTTCTCACCCTGGGCCCGTTCAGGCGACAGTGCTGTGTGATGTCATAGTCCTGTACTGCATGAAGAAGAGATTCTATTACCGGGAGAAGAAATACAAGTTCGTGGAAGATTACGAACAGGTGGGCCTGCGCTCCCAGAGGCCTGAGGGCCTGGAACTGGCCAGTGAGGGGGCCCTGAGCCAGGGCCAGGCGGGGTGAGGGTCTTCTATGGAGGGAGTCATGCTTTCCGCACAGCCCTGCCCTCTGGACCGCCAGGGCCAGGACTGGCACCATGCAGTGGTTTTTAATACTTGTTAGGTGCTGCCAGTGAGGGACCCTCTTAACAGCCCTGAGCCCCGTCCCGGCCTGTGCCATCCTCACAGACTCTCCCTTGAGCCCACGCTGCAGTCAGTCAGTCCATCTCGTCAGGGGCCTCCCTCTCTTCCGCAGACTCTCCCCTTCCCTAGCACCGTGTCCCTTTCCAGGGAACAGCCTCTCCTAGAAACCCACCCAGGGGCTTGTTAACCAGCATCATCTGTCAGTTACGATCACGGACAGCATGACAAAACCCTGCATCTGTGCATCTCACACCAGGAACACATTCTCTTCACCGTCCAGCAGCCAGGCGCCGCAAGTAACGGTGGTGCCACACTCCACTGAAGAATTTGGGGTGATCTTTTAGCATTCCCAGCTCCTTTCTGGTGGCCCCAGTGACTGCTGGACTGTGGGCACATCTTTGCCTGGCCAGCTTCCCTCTGTCCGTGTCTGCTCCTTCGTAGAACACCATCTGACAGATGGATTGGAACCTCTTGGTCGGGGACGGCTCATGTTAACCCGACGTTGTTGTTAAGAACCTGGAAGTGACCTATAGCTGGCCCCCTAGCAGGTTTTTGTAGACAGTGAATCTCACGAGAGTTGACTGCCCATCTCTCTCCAGTGGGGCAGCTGGTGGATTCAAACCCTGTACCTTTGGTTGGCAGCCCAACTCCTTACCACTAAGCCACCAGAGCTCCCTAAAGTGACTGACAGCATCTGCAGAGACTCTAGTTGCAAACAAGGTCTCCCCCTAAGTTCCAAGAGTTAGAACTCCCGCGTGACCTCCCCGGTGACAGCATTCACTCCTGCGTGAGGTGCACTCATCTCTCACCCTTCTCTGCAGGGCCTCAGCGGTGAGACAGACCCGTGATGACGTCCATGCCTGGCCGAGGGGCTGCTGGTCATCCAGAGTCCTGTGCCCGCTCTGCAGGGAAGCCAGGCTGCCTCTGCTGGATGGTGGTGTCGGGGTCCCCGTTGTTCCTGACACCTGAGCCCTGGGACAACCTGGGGTTGAGTTGTGAGAGCCCCTGCAGTTTATGTGACTTGAGGCCTCTGCTGTCCATGCCACCTGGGGTGGGGTCACTGGGAGAGCTTGATGTGTGGCCACCGTGCTATCTGCTGGGTTGGCCTTCCTCTGAAGCTCATCTCCAGCCCCTGGGGCCAGGCACACAGATGGGACAGGGCTTGCCAAGGTGGCCTTCAGGTTCTGAGCACACTGGGCCCCAGCCGCCTGGGATGGACCCCGGCCTTCAGGAACTGGTCAGGATGTCTCCTCTGAGGATCACTGTGCGATGTGACCAGGGACCAAACATTAAATCAACCATTTTCCTAATCTCTGCGTGTGCTACTCTTCAACCAGCACCAGAACCTTCCTTACAGCCTTTTCCTCTGTCCAGTCGGCCTGCTGGTCCCAGCTCCCCGCATCCCTAAAGGCCAAAGCCAGCTGTGTTCTCAAGTCTAGGCAGTGTTTCTCCTACTAAGAGCCACTCTGAGGGCCCAAGGATTGAGTGTTGGCTGTTCATCGAAGGTCAGCGGTTCGAGTCCTGAAGCTGCTCTGAAGGATGATGAGGCATCAGCTCTGGCCAGGATTCACGGCCCGGAACCTTCCGGCAGTCCCATCCACCTTCCGGCTCACAGGAGTAGGGACGGACTGAATAGCGGTGGGGTTTTCATCTTAAAGGCCTGACGGGTTCGATCCCTTTTTGGTTGTATTCCCAGAGTTTCTGTGATTTCACTTTCCTCTAGTGACATCTGTGCCCACGTTGACATTTTTGTGTAACACTGATAAACAGGACCACCAATGAGAGCCGGAACCGCTGGCCTGGGTCTTGGATTTCCCAGCCTCTGACGGTCCCTGCTGCTCATTTTAGGGGGAAATAGTTACATTTTCCCTCTCTGACAATGTCCGGCTCCTGCAGGTCTTAAAGGGAGACATGCACAGGGCGTGTCCCCCTCCTCTCAGCAGCCACCACATACAGCCGCTGCCTGGGCTCCCGAATGCTATTTCCAGGGAAGACTTCACACCTACTTATTCTCCATCAGGTGCTCCAACTCTCCTACACAAAGCCGCCCCGCCCCCGCCATCAACTTGTTCCCCGATACTGGAGACAGGTTCTTTTAGAAACCGTCTTTGCCTGTTAAATAACTAACCTGGGCCAGTTCCTGTTAGGGACGTAAAAAAAGTTCACCACGTCCTTCCAGCCAAGTTCCGCTCTCACTGCCATTCTGAAAGTGCCCGCCTGGACTCATGGGTGCTGACTTCTCCCAGGGTGGTGCAAACACCGCAGTGCTTGGCAGTCATCACACGGTTAGCAGTTCAAGTACACCTACAGGTGCTGTGGAAGAAAGGCCTGGTGATCGCTCCTGAAGCCAGCCACAGTCAGGTGGAGCCCCACACGTGGGAGCCGGCGGCCACGGCAGAATACTGAGTCAGGGTGAGGGGTGGCCTTGCCTTTCCTGATGTGCCCCCGCCACTCTCACGTTCTCGGGTCACCTGTCCCTTAAAGGGGTGTCCTTCAACCTTGAGTCCACACATGAACGTGGGTGTCATTCAGACTCCTCAAACTGCAAACTCACGAGCCTCAGACACTTCCCGGTGGTGGCTGACCTGTGGAGGTGCTCCTCGGTGAACAGATGCATAAAACAAGTCACCACCCACCCCATGGCCAGGCTGCACCTGCTTCAGGCCCGTCAGGAGGGGTCGCCAGCGGGAAGGCTGGGCGGTGTCCGCCACGGCCGAGGTCAGACCCCGCAGGGACCTGGCTGAGGAGCTGGCCTGGCACACACCAGCACTGCTTTGCTGCTAGGCTGGAGGTGAATGAGCTGACAGGGTGGCACCTGACAGCAGGGCCCTGTTAACGCTGTGTGTGCCCGCCTGGCAGGGTGCTAAACGGCGGGACCCCACTTCAGCCCCAAGGAGCCACTCTAGCCTGGGGCTCTCCGTCTAGACTGGGGCTCTGGGACATGCTGGCCACTGGGGCCTGCTATGGGCCTCGGCAGAGAGAGAACACAGACGCCAGGACACACGGCCACCAGGGCCAGCCCACGGCCTGCGGTCCCCAGAGGCTCAGGCTGGGCACCAGCTCCACGTCTGTTTATTTCAAGTTTACAGAGAAGCATCAACATCTGCAGGACCGGGGGGAACCAAAAATAATAAAAGGGGAAAGAGTACACCAAAGGCTTCGTTTTTGGTTCAGGCCGTGTACTGGCAAGTGATAAATACACAGTATTTAACTGTACATGTGATAAAGGGAAGCGCATAGTAGGACCAGGAGTGGAACAGAGCATCCTCGCCGTTCGCTGGGTCGTGGGGGGGCCAGCCCACCTGCAGGGGAGCAGGCCGGCCCAGGCCCGGGGACCTTCCCTAGCACCTTGGAAGCCAGTGGAGCCTTGGCCGGCCCCTCGCATGTCAGCTCACCTGCTAGCCGTGGTTGGGGCCACAGGTGAGGCCGACCCCTGTACACTCGTTCCAGAAAGGCCAGGCCAGCAGAGGCCACCTCTCTGGACCCCATGCCCACTGCGGGGCCGAGGCGTGGACAGCAGGGAGAGGGCAAGGTGTGCTTCTGTGTGGGCCCCGTCGATGAGCAGCCCCTAGTCCTCACAGAGCTGCCTTTTCACAATCCGATCTCCAGGCCGTGACGCAGGCCTCTGCGAGGACCTGGAGCCCGTGGGCGCTGAGCTGGCCGGCCCCGCCTCTGACCACCCGAGCAGTGCGATGTCCACTCTCCGCCTGTGTGGGCTTCAGCACGTGGGGTACGAGGGTGGGTGGGGTTCTTACGCTGCCTTCTTTGGTGTTTCTTTGCAAAAGGAGAAATCGCCTTGACGCTGAAGCTGCGCTGGTGTCCCCTGTGCGGGTGCAGGGCTCAGCACAGAGGCTGGCCCACCCCGAGGCTGAGGGCAGGCCCTGGAGGAGCTGAGCTCAGGGGCCTTAACCACATAGTGTTCACTGCAAACTCACCCCACCCGGCGGCTAACGGGCTGGTCTCCCCACAAACGGGGGCTGGGTGACAGAAAAGCAGGCGGGCAGGCCTTGGGGACAGCCCTGCTAGGACCGTTGGCCTTTGTGCTTTGGACCCAGCATTCTCTACTTGTGTGCTGCTTACAAAGCAGCAAAGAGGGCCTGGTGAGCCACAGTCCAGGGCCCTAGAGAGATCTGGGGAGGTCCAGATGGCCGGGGCCACGTGCATGGGATCAGGGAGGGATGAGGCCCTGCTGCTGTCTGCAGAAAGGCCACAGGCCACTCACGGAAAAGCGTGGCTTGAGTTCCCAGCCGCAATTCCAGAAATCCCAAAGGATGCCGATGTCACACCTCGGGACCCCTCTGTCCCCTCACATCTGTCCCATGTGGCTCTGGAGACCTCTCCATGGGCTGGGAGTCAAACAAAGGAAGACCTTTCACTGCTGGACTTGGGGCTGCCACAGGAGGTTCCCCGTGGCCCGGTTCTGGTTCTGCCTGAGGGGCTCCGGGTGTCCACAAAGCCCGAGAACAGACCGTGCACGTCTCAGTGGGGTGGGTCTCCTCGCTCGCTGGCCCTGCAGGAATCAGGCGCTGACCCCACGACGACAAACACCAGTGACTGGAGATGAGACGCTGACGTGTGGCAGAGGCATCAAAGCATGGGGCTGCCGATCCCTGGTCACGCGCTTGACGCGTCAACTTTCACCTGCAAGCCCTGCAGAATTTCTGAACCGCTGGGAGTTCAGGCTAGAGACCCGAATGCGTCGTCTGTGGCTGTTGGCGCTTCGTTTTAAACCATGTGATGTCCATGGAAGTGGAGGATTTCACTCTGAAGTGTCTCTCCTTTGACAAGCTCTGTCCGAGTCCTCAGCCTCCCCCGTTGAGGGGAACACGGCCACCTTTTCTCATAACACTCTGAAGGCCTTGGGGGGACCCCTTTCCCAAGCGAGTCAGCTGAGCTCCGAGCCCTTTCAGTTTTCCTGAAGACAACTCTCCCCATATCAAATGTAAAGTCCTGCTACAAGTAAGTTGTAGCAAAACCCCTACAGACAAGGGGTCCAGCCCTGACACCCGCAGTCTTGTTTCCAGAAGGTTCCACGGTTTGGAGTTGGCATGAGAAGTTACCATTCTTCGAGATCACAGCAGCTCACTCAGTTTTTCAGGCTGTCCAGACCCCTCCTGTCCACTTGGTGACCTGGACGGGGCTCCGGGGGGTATTTCTGGCATAAAAACGATTTAAGAATCAACTGTTCGAAACACACACGGGTTTGGGTGTGAAGCTCCTCATACCTGCCCGTCCGGCCAGCCAGCAGCCAAAGTTGATGTTAGGGAGCTGAGTCCCCCCACTTTTTGTCCCCTTTTACACAACAAAGGAAGAAACAGAACCAGCGACGGTGCTGCGTGTCCGCGGGGCATGCTGCGGGGGGCGGATGGGACAGCACCAGAGGTGACATGCGAGCGGTGGTCCAGCGGCTACTCCGGCTCCATCGCTTCCTCCTCGGGCTGTGGGGCCTGCATGCGGGTGGGGGAGCCAGCACCCGCAGCCCCCCAGCTGTCGGCACTGGACACAGCCATCACAGGGGCGCCTCCTCCTCCCCTGTGGTGGGCAGCCCGGAGCCCTGTGGGCTGTCTGCGCTGCCATCCTTCCTGCTCAGAGGACAGAAAGCCAGCGTTAGGACCCACGGACAGACGAAGGGACAGGTGGACAGCACCCCAGCCCCTTGGTGCTATGTGGGCCGCTGTAGTCCCCAACACCTGTAACACGGCTGCCTGAACGCCTTTTCTATCCTCTCCCTTTTCTCCTTCTCCAATACATTTCCCAAAGGAGAGACTGCATCACCTCTGTCGGTGGGAAAACCAGCGTCATCTGCCAGAAGTGGCAGGAACTATAAAAGGAGATATGACTCGAGCTGCAAGACTTCTGTGCCCAGAGCCTGCCTGAGGCCTGTCCTCCGGGCCTGCTGCCCCCCAGGAAGCCTCCTGGGCACCAGGAGAAGGACCTCACTGTGGCCCAGCAGCAAGTGAGGCTTCAGGAAATGCGGTGGGCAGGCCTGCTCCTGGCCCCTGAGGCCGGGGTCCACTGGAAGACCAGTCAGGACCAAAAAGAAGGGCTTCCCCTGAAGGATACATCTGAGGAGAGAAGACCATGAACATGGAAGAAAAGGGCTCCTGCATAAAGAGGCCCCAAGATGAACGGCTGCCGCCTGTGTCACGAGACCAGAAGAAGCAGATGGTGCCCGGCTAGCAACACTGACCGTTCTGAGCAGCACCCGCCAGAGAAGGTGGTCTGGTGGTGCCGTACACGACGTGTGCTGCTAACCCGAAGTTCAACTCCACCAGCCACTCCCCAGGAGGACGGCCAGTCTCCTCAGGTCAAGGTTTACAGCCTTGGATCCTGAAGGAGAGCTGCTAGGAGTAAGAACGGACCCAACAGCAGTGGTTGAATACCTAATACTAGGATCTTGACCAAAAGAGGGGAAACGTGGAACAAAACTTCAAATTTATATGGAAATCAGATTTAATGGATTTGTTAGGATTGGAAGAACCTCAAATCTCCTACCTAAACCAAAACTATCCCAGGAGGCCATCATTAAGTAAGAGCTAAAAACAGTTTAACTCAATAGAGAAGATTTCCCCTGAGGGCTGTGCTCTGAACAGGTATCTAAAGCACAGATGTGGTCTCTAAGGACAGAGAGCCGAGATTAACGGTGAGAAAACCATGTGGGTAGACACGGTGAGAATGGGCAGAGGGCAGGAAGCATGGCACCAGTGTCATGTGAGCGATCCTGTCCAATGGATGCCAAGTTGTGTACACCACCACCAAAAATGAAAACAGTGCTGCTTCCAAAAGGAGGAGACTGCACCTTAAAAACGGGGAAGCAAACCCCTTACAGCCCCACGTCTCAAGGGAATCACACAGGACTCCTGCCCACCGTGCCCAGCCAGGACCTGCAGGGCCCTTCTGCCATGTCCAGCCAGGACCTGCGGGCCCCTCCTGTCCACTGCACCCAGCCAGGACCTGCAGGGCCCTGCCTGGCAGAAGGCCAGCTCCACAACTGCACAAGGGCACAGAAGGCAAGGCTTCTGTCCATCCCCAGAAAGGAACCCCACTTTGTTCAAAATCCTTGCTCAGCTCACTGGCTTTGTGATTCATTTAAAGATCAAGGGTGCAGCCCCCTGGAGGAAAGGGACGGGGGGCCACAGAGCTGCTGCAGACAGTGGGCTTCTGTGAACGCCCAACCACTAGGCTGCTCCGCAAGTCCTGGACTCGGGGAGCCCCATGCAGAGGCCCGGGGCAGGGCAATGACCACTGGTGCTGGTGGGACTGCAGGTGAGGGGGCAAAGGGGTGACAGCGCGCTCCTGGCCAATTTCAGCCTGCCTGCATCGATCTGACCTCACTGCAGTTTTCACAAGAAATAAGCCGTAGGTTTGCGCATGGACATCATGAAGGCCCCGTTCTGGCAGACTTAATAGAGGTGGTGGTTAGGTGGTAGAACTCCCACCCTCCATGAAGAGAGGGGCCGACGTGGACTGACACGGCACGGGCCACCTTTCCCACAAGTCCACAAAGCCACGTGCAGACGGGGCTGTTTGCTTGGGGACCCTAAACTGAGGGGTGGAATCTGAGCGGCTGGGGGAGCCCAGGTGGGCGTCTTCTGCTAATATCAGGAACGCAAACCAATCTGTCCCTGCTGGATCTAAGCCACGCCCAGGACGGAGCTCTGCCCCAGAGGGCGTCTCCCAAGGCCACGTCCTTCAAGGACACATCGTCCACAGAGTGGATGGTTGTTCGAATCACGGACCTTTCAATTTACAAACAAACCCTTCAACGACACCAGAGAGCACTCGGCGATCACAAGCAGGAAGGACAGGGCTGGGGGCCCAGAGCCCAGCTTACCCGGTCAGGACTCAGCACAGGGCCTGGAGCCGGGACAGCTGGTGGAAGCCCAGACCTCTGTCACCCTGGCCTGGGCTGTGCGCTCTGAGCAAGGGCAGCTATGGTCCCTCTGCGCATATGTGGGTCCGGCCCCCCATGCCGGAGCGACAGAGCTGTACCCAACTCAGCCCCCACTTAGAGGGGTGTCAGCCTTGACGTGAGCGGGGTGGGGGACCACTTGCTCCATGCACGCCGGCACAGGCACCAGGTCGGCAGCAGGTGAGCTCTGGGCGGCCAGTGAGGCCAGCACGAGCGGCTGGAGCCCTGGGAGGCCCCGGCGGTCGGCATGCACTGCAGCCCCAGGCCACATGCACATCACCAGGTCAAAGCCACGCAGGGTCCCTGGCTCCTGGGCATCACCCCCGCCCGGCCTGGATTCCACGGCTCATTGTGGACAGTGTCCCCTGGGGGACAGGCTTGAGTCGGCAGCTGCCCCCCGGGCCTGGATTCCACGGCTCAGCGTGGACAGTGTCCCCTGGGGGACAGGCTTGAGCCGGCAGCTGCCCCCTTCTCCAGGCCCCACACAGGCAACAGGCAGCAGGCATTACCTTGTGCTCAGACGGGGGCTCACTGCCCCTGGTGGGCTTTCTGCTGGAAGCACCAGAGGGAGAAGGGCCGTGAGAACGGACACTGGGCTGTGAGCGTGCCCGGCCCCCACTCCAGAGGTGTGATGAGCTGGGCAGGTGGCAGGCACCTGGCTACAGGCGGCATCCTTTACCAAGGCCACGCCCCTCACCTGCCCTAGGGCCTGAAACCCCCAGGGAACACCATGATGGTCCACAGGGAGTCACGTCCTCCTGGGCCTGGCTGACCCGAGCCGGCAGTGGCTCTGGGGTTCCTGTGTGGGCAGCAGTGCCCATCTGGTCATCGCAGCCTCTGGGGACCAGCCTCCCCACCTGGTTACTCACACGAGCAGGTTCCCAGGTGCTGACAAGGAACGCTCCTCCCTCCGGCTGCCCTCGAATGGGTTCCCGAAGGAACGCTTCCGGATCATGGTCTTCACCAGGATCTGGAGAGGAGACAGGGCCGTGACTGGTCAGCCGCTGGAGAGATCCAACCACGTTCTCCTCTCCCGGTGCCGCGGCCCCTCGGCATGGCCCAGCCTGGCCGGCTCTGGCGGCTCATGGCAGGACCGAGAGGCTGTCCGCACGGCCACCTTCCTGCAGGGGACAGCAGCCTGAGGACACAAGTCAGTGGCCTTTAGTTACAGTCATGAGCTTGTGCGACCAGCACCTCTTCCTAACTCCAGAACCTTCTCACAGCCCAAAGAGAGCCTCCGTACCCTTACCTGGCACAAGGAGCCCTGAGCAGTGGGTGACACAGCAGGCTACAAAAAAGGCTGACAGTTCGAATCTACCAGCCGTTCCACGGGAGAAAGACAGGCTGCCTTTTCCCGTGAGTATTTCCAGCCTTGGGGGCCCCAGAGGATGGCTGAGCGGAACCACTTGACGTGGTCCTGGTACCCTGAACCCTCAATTGCTAACTCCCCTTCTCATCCCTTGGCAACCTGCCTTGGGGTGTATGGCTGCACCCCTTCTACAGTACCGTTCACTCACACAGTGGATGGCCTTCTCCTCGGCACCCTAAAAGAGCCCTGGGGGGCCAGTGCATTATGTGCTGCACTCCCAACCACAAGGCTGGGGGTTCGAATCCACCAGCTTCTCCAGGGGCCACAGAGAGGCAGTCTCCTTGCACAAAGACCCACGGGCTCAGAAAGCCAGTGGAGGGTCGCCGGGGTCGGGATCAGCCGAGGGCGTGAGTCTGCTTTAAGTGTGCACACAGGACAATGGCCAGGGCACCTTTCGTCCAGCTCATGTAGATGGACACCCACACCGTCTCCTGCCTTCTAGAACCATGGAGTTGCGCCTTCAGGCCTGGGTGTGGGAGCTATGGGACTGTGGGCTTGCACGTGTCCACCTCTGTTTTGAGGACTCGGGGTTCCCACGGGGTCTGCACACCTGGGCTTCCAGCAGCAGTGGACGGGAGCATGGTTTCCCATGGGGCTACGGTTCGTGTCCCAGTAGGAATGAAGGAAACAGCCCAAGGCCCCAGAGATGGCTACGGGGCTGGCTGATGGCTAAGAGGGGTGGGCAGAGGCCTGGGGGCCCGTCCCTCCCAGGGGAAGGCTGTGCTGGCCACCTCTCTGCAGAGCAAGGAGGCTCTTCAGTGCCCTTCACCTCCCTGTCCACTCTAAGCAGACCGGCCCCCCGCTCGGCTGGGTCTGACCCAGGGGAAAGCGAGGATCCTTCTGGAAGAAGGCAATGTTCCCCCTCAGCCCCTGCGTGCCGCCTCACCCCCTCATCTGTTTCAGGAGTGTCCTGCTTTTCCCAGGAAGCCGGTTATGTAAGTGTTTCCTGTTGTGTAACAGATACATTAACACGAATGTGGGGACCCGAACGGTGCTTCGGAGGCTGCTCTGCTTACGTACATCCCAGAACCTCGTGGGGTTCCTGGTGTGGAGGTTTAGGGTCCCGTTTCAGGGGGTGTCCCAGTCAACTGGCTACTGACTGTCTGTGGACAGTGCCTGGAAGTGGCCACCTGCGCTCAAGACACAACAGCTGGTCTCCCTCTTCTTGGTGCAAGAGAGGAGGGAGGAGAGGCAGGGGCAGCGGTCAGAGGCGGCGTGGGGGCTACAGGGTGTGGCGAGTCCCCCCTGGACCACGGCCTCCTTTGCCAGCAGCCCAGAAGGTGACCTTGCTGACTGTTTTAGCAGAAATTCCATGAAGAATCCTGATCTCAAGCATGAGGGCAGAGGCAGAAGAGAATTTCAAATTCTCAAGGACGTGTAGACGAGAGGAACCCGAGAGGCCCGCTCACAGATAATCACTAAACCACAAACTTGCCCGGTCGAGGTGGACTAGTGACAGCAGCCCCACTGTGCTTTAACTGCCTCTAAGAGGCCAAGCTGGAGACCACTCCAATGGTCAGCCAGGACCCGGGGGCAAGGAGTTCATGCGGACGGGGGAGGAGCAGTTCTGAAAGAGGGGAGGACGGTCGCACAGCCCGGAGAACGTTGTCCGCGGCACCGAACTGGCCGTGGCAAAACGGTGGAGCAGACGTCCTGCTTACTGAGAACACTCTCCGTAACAACCAAAGCGAATCCACCAATCTGAAGAAGTGCTTCCCGAATACTGAATGAGCACCGGCCTCCAGGGTCAGCCAAGGTCCCCCCATAGCCCACAGCTGCGGCTGGAGGGACAGTGGAGAAGGCCATGAGCTGATGAGAGGCCCCCCCCTACCCCCGTCTAACAACGTAGGATGGAGAGAGGCACTAGGGGTCCAATGCTGCCCTGGCCATGGGCACAGCGGTTAGTGGGCGAACGTGGCGGCGTGGGTGAGCTTTCACAGGTCATGCAGAGGCCCCGGCGCGAGGCGGTGGCTGGGATGTGATGACCCCCCACCCCAGGAGGCTGCAGCCAGAAGAGAACGAGAGCGCGTGAAAAGAGGAAGGAGCCGTGAAAAGCTGGAGAACCTGGAGACCGGGCTCCTACACGGGACACGTCCACAAGGCCGGGCACGCGGTTACCCTGCAGGCTGGCCAGGGGGCTAAATACGGTCAGCCACACCCCACAGCTTTAGAGGTGCCCACGGCAGAGGTGGCCAGGTGGGGTCTGCCCCCAGGACAATCCCATGGACCCCTGGTCATTGGGACTCCTGGTCTCCCTCTGGGCAGGGCCCAGCTGGCGGCTGGCTCCAGGTGCCTCCAAGGCTCCTCCTGGGTCTAACTGAAATTCCAGGGCACAAAAGAGGCCTCCGGGCTGCCCAGGGAGCTCTGGGGGCTGAGTGGTCAAGAGCTGTGCTGGCAAACCAAAGGCAGCCGTTTGAACCGGCGGGAGGAAGACGGACAGGCTTCTCCCGGGGGACGTACGGCCTCTGATCACCCCCTGAATGGTCCGCAGGAGCCTGTTCCAACTCGACCACACACAACAGTGGGTCCTCTGCAGCCTCCTGACCTCAGGGGTCAGGAAGAACCACCTGGCACGTACAGCACGGGCTGCAGCTCTGAAAAGGGGGTCCAGCTGGTGAGGGAAGCTGTCCTGGAGGCCACCTGAGCCCTGCCCGGCCTCCTGCCACTCCTGCTCTGAAAGGCGAGCTGGGGTCCAGGAAGCCAGGGTCCTGGACAGGGGTCACCCCGCGCCTGGTGGTGCCGGGGTCCGGCAGGAACAGAAGCTGGGGAGCTAAGAGGCAGGGCCGGCCGGCCCCACGCCTGCCCTCGAGCGCGGCCACAGGCTCCGTCCCCGCTCTGGGCAGTGGGCTTTGCTGCCTTACCACTGTCGCCAGGCTGGGAATGTGTTTGACCGAGTTCTCGACCTCCTCTTCGGTCACCTCGACCAGCGTGCAGTTCTCGTCCTCCGACGGCAGCGGCTCCGCCCCGTGCCTCGTGACCCAGGGGTGCAGCTTCAACGAACGACAGGGGGGTGAGGCGGCGGCCAGCCCGCGGAGGACGAGAGCACAGAGGCCCGCAGCCAGGGCGGAGGGCACGCGTGGGCCTGTGGCCGGCATGCAGACAGCGGGCGGAGGGCAGGGGCGACGGGGCGGCCGACACGGGGATCAACGGCGTTCGACCCGCGTCCCTCCTGGCAGGGCTCAGCAGAAGTGACCACCTGAGTGTCACCTGCAGGCCTGGAGGCTTGGCTGTGGCAGGCCGCACTCTCCCATGTCACAGGCAGGGAGGCCAGTGATCAGGACGCGACCGACAGGCTGTGGACCCCTCCCCCCACCAGGGTCCACGCTCCGACAGCGGACCTTCCCGGCGGCCCCCAGGTGACAGTCCACAGTCTCTGAAGCAACGCTCCAGAGGGCCAGATGTGACAGGGGAGGATGGGCACAGATGTCTCCTCTAACAGGTGGACTTGAGCCAGGATCCTGAGGGGTCCCACCGCCCCCTCCTCCCTCTCACTGAATTTCCCCCTCAAGACTGGTGTCCAGGCGGGTCCAGGAGGGGCCCAGCATAGGCAGAGGAGGGTAGGGAAGGGCCTCAAGCCAGTCGGAGCAAGCGGAGGCTGCCTGCTGGTCAGCCACGGGCCTACGACCTGTCACCAGCACTGCCATCTGTCCACCAGCTCCCAGCAGCCCAGGCCTGGAGGGCAGCGGTGAGCGGGGCACCGTGGCGGGCGGTGGGACACGAGCCAAGCTGGGTGAGTCTGAGCCAAACAACCCCAAGCGCAAGACGCAGCCAAGCCGGGCACCCGCCCCAGGGACACGGCCTTCATCTACCTTGATCTCCGGGACCAAGATCCTCGACTCGGGGTTCTTGTCCAGCATGCGAGTAATGAGGCCCTTCAGGTCCTCGGCTATGTCGGGTCTGGGGTGGAGGGAGAGTCAGGGGATCAGGCCCTTCAAGTCCTTGCTATGTGGGGCCTGGGGGGAGAGTAAGTGTGAGAGGTGGACGCAGCGAGGGGAAGGGGGGCGGGGGCGCACTCACTGGTCAGGGAACTCCAGCGCCTGGCTCTTGATTTTACTGTGTAAACACATGATGCGCTCGTCCATGAAGGGGCACTGCAGCAGGCCGAGGACAGGGGGGTCAGCGCTGTCACCCCGTGAGGGAACCCGCAGCGTCACACCCCCACCTGCCTCCACCCTGACCGATGGACGGCCTCATCACCCCTCCCTTCTGCCCTACTGGTGGCGGGTGACATCAATTTAGTGACACCCCTGCCTTGGTGACCCCACCCCACTCTGGTGCCTGCCTGCTCCCACGGCTGCAGGTCCTGGGGTCATCCCCTCTGACACGCTGGGGTCCATGCGACACCCTGTCTTGGCGACACCGCCGACCACGGCCAGCCCCTAGGGAGACAGCGGCCTCGTTCTCCAGTTCTGGGAGGAACTTCCTGGAGCCTGCTCTAACGTACGGCGGCCTTCCTCAGGAACTGTTTCCAGAAGCCAGGTGACAGCAAAGTCGAGGGGGCACTGTCAGGACCAGAGGGCTGAGCCCGAGACAAGCCCTGTGTCAAGGGTTTCCATGGCCGTTTCACTGGCTGTTCCCTGTGCTAGAATGTTCTTCCTGAAGCTTCCTCCCCGCAGGTCTCCGGCCCAGTTCAGTTTCTCAGGAGGCCTTCCCGGGACACCTGCCCTCACAGAGAAGCTGCCTCCCCTCTGTGAGTAAGCCTTGTCACTGTCAGTCCTACTTGTTGACGGTCTTCTCTCGTCCTCCACGACGGGGTCCCCGACAGCCCGTCACCAGCTGTCCCACCCCACGGTCATTGACCACTGTACACGTTATCTGTTCATGCACACACCATCGAGAGCCCACAGACACCCAGTCAAGGCAAACTCAGAGCGGCCCTGCAGGACACAGGACTGCCCCGGAGGCTTAGAGGTCAGAGATGTGGTCAGAGGGGGTCTCCCCTCCTGCAGAACCCCCACTTGGTGGCCAAGGCGGAATCTCTCTTTTGAACCACTGCACCAATATATAAAAATCCCCATCACCGCTGAGTTGGAACCCCCCGCTGACCTCCGGCCAGGTCTGGAGAGGCTGGGAGTCCCACGGGAGCAGCTGCTGGGAGAGTCCAAAGGCCAGAAAGGCACCCCCTTTGGGCTAGACCCCCCGGGCCAGCAGAGCCTAGATACAGCTGTCAGGTGTCATCGAGTCGCCAACCACTCACGGCGACCCCATGAGCCCCTCTTCTAGCCCTCACCCTATTCTGTGACGTCCTCACTGTCTCCAGTACACTGCAGCCCCTTGTTACAGCCCTGTCAATGCGTCCGGTTGAGGGTCTTCCTCTGGCCCCTCACCGCTCCCGCAGGATGTCCCTGTCCGAGGACTAGCCCCTCCTGACACTGTGCAATGCAGGGATCCTTTGTCTAGAAAGCGTCCCCCCCACACCCCGTTACCTGGCCAAACACAAAGCAGTAGAGCGTCACACCCATGGCCCAGACGTCCAAGGCCTGCAAGACAGAGAGCCTAGTGAGAGGGGAGGCCCATGAGAGGGGAGGCCTGGAGCCCGGTGAGAGGGGAGGCCTGGAGCCTGGTGAGAGGGGAGGCTGATAAGAGGGGAGGCTCGTGAGAGAGGAGACCCAGAACCCAGTGTGAGGAGCGGCTGGGCGGCCAGTTTGAGGGGAGGCTGGGAGTGTGGTGAGTGGGGAAGACAGGAGCTCAGGGAGAGGGGAGGCTGGGAGGACACTCGCTGCCCCACCTGCCCAGCACCTGCCCCTCAGCTTTCCCTCCTTCGTGGGCCTGGGATACAGCCTGTCCTGTGACTTCAGACTGGGACAAGACCCAGGCCTGACCGATGACAGCTCTACTGCCCACAGGCACCATGGGTGGGCACATGACCCAAGCTGGACCAATCAGAGCCAAGCCTGGGATTTCCACTGGAGCTTTCAGAAAAGGGAACGTTGCAGCCATTGAGGTTGGTAACCAGGTAGAAAAGTGGCCTGAAACTGCAGGTGTGTGATGTGTTTGCGATGAAGCAAGCACAGGGGGGCTAGGAGGAAGAGAAGGGCCATTCCTGTGTAAACACCGGGGTCCAGAGCGAACCACGCCCCACTGCTCGGCCAGAGTTCACGGTTCACTGTTCAGGTCAGGCGGGCTTGGGCTTGGGTCCTCACAAACAACTGGGCCCGAACGCAGGCAGAACTCGGCCTCGGGAGGTCAGCCCGCAGCCCTGTCCCACGGGCCTGGGTACCTTCCCTGAGAAGATCCTCCGGGTCTCGGAGAGCGACTCGGGCGCCATGAAGGCAGGCGTGCCCACGGTGTTGGAGAGGAGTGCATCGCTGCCTTTGAACTCGTTGCTGACGCCAAAGTCGGCGATCTTGATGTGTCCGTCATCTCCGACCAGGAGGTTGGACGGCTTGATGTCCCGGTGAATGATCTTCTGGTAGTGTACTGGGTGGTTGGGGAGAGACAAAGAGAGGGACAGGAAGGCATGTGGAACCACCCCTCCAGAAGGCTCTGCCCAGGCTTCCTGCACCCCAGTGTGCAAGAGGTGAAAGACAGGGCCAGTGACTAAAGAACTTCTCTCCTACGGTCAAGGACTGCCGGTCACAATCAGTGACAGCCCACTGCTGTCAGCGAGGTGTAAGCCACAGCCACTCCTGGCAGGAGGTCACCTGCTTCCAGGGAGGCACCTCCAGACTCGTGCAAACCAGTTTATCAAAGGTGCAGTACAAGCGGGTCACAGACCCAGGGGCTCACAGAGTGGGCTGATCTGAGGTTTGAACAGGGCAGAAGTGGGGCTCTTAGGTGGTCATCAATGAGAGGGGACAAGCCTACAGCGGTGGGTGGTTTTATGTGCCAACTTGGCCAACGCCAGTGCCCAGCTGTGTGGTCAAGACACGGTTAACGAGTATATGCATCTGATGACATCAAGGAAAACAAGGGATCTCAGTGGCACAATGCATTAAGTGTTGGGCCGCTAACCAGAAGTTAAGTAGTTCAAATCCACTAGCTGCTCGATGAGAGAAAGCTGGGCAGTTTCCTTCCAGAAAGATGTGCAGCCTCAGAAACACGAGGGATGATTACTAGAAGTTGGAATCCACTTCACAGCAGGGAGTCTTAAGTAAAGCAGATTAACCTTCTCAGCAGGGTGGGCCTCACCCAATCACTTGGAGGCCTCCAAAGCAAAATGAGAACTTCCTCTAGGATGTGCTCTGCTCCTAGACTATGCAGTAGACATCTTGCCAGAACTCTTCTATTCCTCACTCTTTCTGTTGCCTGACGCATGGACCCTCTGTAATCAGTCATTTGATCTATAGATTTTGGATCTTGGTGTGGCTGGTGGATTTGAACCACTGACTTTTTTGGTGAGCAGCCCAACATGTAACTGACGACATCACCAGAAGTACTTTGTCCCCTTTGATAGAGGGGAAAAGGCCATGAGGTGAAAAGCATCGTCCAAAACCCCTGTCTGCCCTGGCACCTCAGCACGCAGCCTTGTGTGGAAGGTGATCAGGGTATTTAACATGACCGTCTTGGTCCTGAATCCAGTAATACTGATGCCCTCGAACAAGAAACAGAGGGGAAGACACAACACTGAGACGCCAGGAAGCAGGAGACGCTAGAAGCAACAAGGAAGAACTCCCTAGAACCTTCACGGCTGGGCTGACATCCTGCTTTCTAAGCTCCAGCTTCTAGAACGGAGATAGACTTCTGTTGCTCTCAAACCCTTAGCCTGTGGGCTTCTGTACCAGCAGCCACAGGAAGTGCAGACCACAGGGGTGAAGGATGACCTGCGGCTGTCGGAGGACGGAGGGACAAGGCACGCAGTCCCTGACCACGGCAGGCGGATCTGGGAAGGGCCGGACCACCGTCCCCACTGAGAGAGCCGGTGCTTGCTCAGGGAGCGCCGTCAGTGCGGCTGGTCACGACCCTGCAGCCCCTCCTCCCGCAGGGAAATGGGGACCTTTCTGCTCTCTGACCACCGCCTCCCACCAGCCCCATTTACAGTACTCAATGCCTTTGATCAGATCCTGGAAATAGAAGCGGGCCTGGTCTTCAGAGAGCGGCTTGAGGGTGGGCACCTCCATCACAGGCCTGGAAGGAGGGCGCGCAGGTGAGAGTGCAGCCAGACACAGGCGGGGCCTGCCCCGCACCACCCACCCCCACAGGTGTTGGACACTCACCCCTGGTTGACGAGTTCAAACACTGAAAGGGAAGAAGGGCCAGGCCGTTACACTGAGGGAAGGACTCACCCCCCTCCCATCCTCCCTCCGTGTCTAGGAATGTCGGGAAGCCCTGGAAGGGGTCCTGGGGGCCGTGGGGTCACAGCATAGAAGATGAGGTCACCCCGGAGCAAGGTGGGCCCACACAAGGACGAGGGGACACAGGGGGGTGGCCATGCACAGCTGGAGGCAAGGCGTGGAGCGGTCCCCACAGCTGAGAGGTGAGGAAGGTTCTCCCCTGGAGCCGTCTCCGGGACGAAGCCCGCTGGCACCCTGAATTTGAATGGGCCTCCAGAGCTGGGCGAGAATCCACCTCCGGGCTCTACGTGAAGTGAAGATACCTCTGTCTCCCTCAACTGCAGTCCCGGCCTCTGAAGAGCTTTCTGCCTCCTCACTGCACCCCCGGGGCCAGGCACGTACTGGGCGCTTGAGAATTATTTGCCAGTGAATGGGACCCAGACTCAAAGTCCAGACAAGAACGCCCTTTCCTCTTCTGTTTCAAAGTAGGGGCTGCAGCTTTAAGAGGGCTGAAGGGGGCCCAGCTGGACCCAGAACAGGGACAGTCCCCGTGGGCGGAGTTTGAAGGGCCATGTGCTGACGCAGGCACACGTGACTGGACACGGCTGGTGGAAGGACAGGGCTCTTACCCATGTACAGATGGTCCTCACTGGGGTCATCCAGGACCTGTTGGCAGAGGGGCAGGAGGGTGAGGGGAGAAGTGAGCATGGACAAGGCAGCCCCGAGACAGAGCCAGCAGGCGCCCTGTGTGGGCCTGGTCACCTATCTGAAGAGCAAGAGAACACAGTCCAGGATTCAAATGGCCACCTGGACCCCAGCAGCTCCTGGCCCCAGTCCTCAAGGACCCAGAATGCCGTGAGAGGAGGGTGCAGAGGGAGGAAGCGGGACTGGCTCCCGTCCAGGGGATGCCCACTCAGGCTGCCCACGTCTGGAGGCCAGGACTGTGGCCCTGCACGGGTTGGGGAGCGGACCACAAGGTCTTTCTCCAGGGCTCCTCGGGGGAACGCGGTGTCCAGCCTTTCATGAGAAGCAGAGTGTGTAAAGCACTGCACCACCATGGGCTCTGACACACAGGGACTTGTAAAGGTCACATGAATGGAGGGAGACACCAGCCCTTGTAGGCCCATGGCTCAGTGCCTGGGTGAGGAGAAAGAGGGGTGCACTGCACCCCAAAGCTTCCCTGCCCTTGCAACACCACGTGGATCACTTCTCAACGTCTAAGCGGGCCTTCTAAGGAGCCCTGTGTCTGCTCACTGGACATCTATGTGTACATGTCAGAGGACAGACGGCACAGCCAGCGATTAGTGAAGGACAAGGCACACTGTTCCCGCGAGCCTTAACTTCTCCATCTGTAAAATGGGGACAATGAAGTATGTTCAAGGAAAATAAAAAAGCCACACACACTGTCATCAAGCTGATTCCAACTCCTAGTGACCTGAAGGACAGAGAGGACGTGCCCAACGGCTCCCCAGGCTGGGACTCTTCGCAGAAAAGACCACCACATCTTTCTGCCGCGCACGGCAGGAGGGCTCTGACGGGCGACCTTCTGGTTAACTTTACGCACTGCGCCACCATGTCTCCTCCAGGCGTGGAGGGTGGGGGCAGCCCACACCACACAGTCCACCCTGTGTTGCAGACAGGAGCCTGGCTCTCTGGACACAGCATGGACCTTGGGTCACGCCAGGGTGAGGGCCGACGCAGGAGTCTTCCCCCGGGGGTCCCCCTCACCTCCACCAGCTTCACCACATTGGGGTGGTCCAGCTTCTTGAGGATAGCGATCTCCTGGTACACTTGCTCGATGGGGCCCCTCCGCTGGACGCAGCCCCCGGGGGCCGGCCGGGTGCCTCGGGGAGGAGGGCGGCCTGGAGGAGACAGAATCCACTGAATTTTTAAATGATATAAGCAGGAGTGGCATCCACTTCCAAAACAGCTTCCCTCTGGAAACCCTATGAACTTGGAGAAACGAAGAAATTATACAAGTGTTCAGGTCTTTCCTTCATAGGGTCGCTATGAGTCGCCTACGACTCAACGGCACTTAACAACAACAACACAGAGAGAGCTCAGTTGGCCTAGTGGACAGGAAGCGACGCTACCAAGCCAAAGGTGGGTGATTTTAATCTGTGTCACTCAGGCCTGGTTTTAATTGTTTTTGGTCATTCTTCTAGCTGGTCTAGCACTGGTCATCTGCTGTACAGAGGTAACTCGTGGTTGCTGTGATGCTGAACACTGTGACAATGATGTGTCAGATGTGATCACGGTTACCCATGGTGGACAGTGTTTGGTAGAGCTCCCCGATTAAAACAAGCCTGGAAGCAGGAGTGGCATCCACTTCCGAAATAGCTTCCCTCCGGAAACCCTATGAACTTGGAGAAACGATGAAAATGATACAACTGTTCAGGTCTTTCGTTCATAAGGTCACTATGAGTCGCCAAGGCTACTGTTTTAAAATTCAGGGAGTTTTCCTTCTTTCATTGTAGCTTGGATGAAAGTTTACTTGTTTTCCATTCAACACTTTTCAATACATGTTGTGACAATTAAAATCCCCTGGATGGAACAGCACTCCTCCCACTTCCAGCTACCCCTCCCGGCCTGCCCAGCTTTGCCTGGGCACATGCTGACCTCTGGCCTCTTCTGGCCGGTTATTTTCAGCAGCAAGGCCCTCGCCGGTGTTACAGTCACTTTACAGGCCTATCTACCGCTTTCTTCCATCCCAGCTTTGAAGGGTGTAAAGATGGGCTCCACCGTCTGCATCAGTGACCACGTCTGCTCCTTTTCGACGATTATGACTTTCGTTCCACGCTTGTCTGCCCTTCTGTCCAGGACTCTGTGGTCCTGATCAGATGGTGGTGGTGGAAGGCAGGCACCAGCTAGGTCTTGTGATGTCAGGTCCACGTGGCCACTGGTCCTCTGAGTCCCTGGCTTTCTTCTCCGATGGGGAGAGAACACCACTTGCACTTGGAAGACCTCTCACTGGGTGCTCAGCCTCCAGTCTCGCTTCCCCACCACCCCGCAAGGGCGTCAAGAACTCCCTTGGTGAATTCTCCAACGCCAGTCGACCCGGTTGTTCTCCGAGCCCCCAAGCCCAGTGCCTCACTCCACAGGTGTCTGTCTATGGCCAAGAAGTTTCATAACTTTGTCCAGTTTCCTCTTCTTTACACTAAAAAACTCAGGGCCATTGAGTCAGTGCTGACAGTGACCACCACCCCCAGGACAGAGCAGAACTGCCCCGGTGGGTGTCCGAGGCTGTCAATCTGATGGGAACAGGCCGTCTCGTCTTTCTGGTATCAGTTGGGCTCTCCGATCAGTGCTTGACTCACTGCCCCAGCAGGGCATCTCCCTCTCCTGTCTACCAGACTGTTTACGGCACACACACACGAGTGACATTAAACTTTGTGAACTGTGGACTTTCTGCCTCGGGTGGGTATTTTTATTTGGCATTTATGTTACTTTATTAACTATTTTCAAGTAGAAATACATAAAGGACATGAGAAGGAAGGGTACCACTGTTTGAGGGAAGTCTGAGGGGTTCAGGGATCCCCGCCAGGGCTTTCCTCCAACCACCCCTTGGTGGGGCCTCTGGGGGTGCCATTCAGTGGTCTCTGACCTGTTGTCCCCAGGCCCCTGCCCCCAGAACTGAGGCAGTGGCCCCCAAAACTCACGTGGAAAGCCTGCCTGGCGGATCAGCTTCTTCTTAGACAGCACCTTCATGGCCTGTGGGAGAAGAGACCCCACACCCAGGTTCAAGCAGCAAGGACAGTGGAGGGGGAGGTCCCCATGCTCAGCTCCAGCTCTCAAAGAGCCCTGAGACACGTAGTGAGTTCCTCGTCACCAGAGGTAATCAAGTAACCACTAAGGTGCATGGAGGGACACCCCAGAAGTCATGAGGGTGTGTGGAAACGGGGTTCCCAGGCCCCTGTCCCCCTCATGGGGCTCCTGCTTTTCTGACAAGCCCTTCCAGCTAAGAGCCTATTCACTGCCTCTGAATCAAGACCCTGGATTCAGCTAGAGAGATGAGCGAGGGAGGGGTGACCCTCAGATTTACACCTGGGGAAACTGAGGCTCAAGGTTACATCCCTTGCCCAAGGTTACATGGCTGAGCCAGGATTTGAACCCCTACTGGACTGACTCTTAAAGTTCAGGTAAGAGGGTCGAATGTCCAGGACCACAAGAGAACTGGTGCATCAGCAGATGAAGACACAGTCGTCTGGGCATAGAGACATTGGCCTTAACTGCCCATTTGCCCATCTGTAAAATGGGACCAACACCCAGGATGACCTGGCAGCATGGCTCTGACATCCGTGTCCAGAGCCGAGCGCTGGTGGACGGTTCCTCCTTAGACAGTGGGGACTGGGCCAGGGGGACGTGGGTACTCACGTAGTATGTGTTGTCGTTTTCGTTGTAGGCCAGCTTGACCACGCCGTAGGAGCCCTGGGTGAAGGTACACAATCAGACGTTAGGGTCTCTGATTAGAACTCATGAGACAGAATGTCTACGAATGAGTGAATGAAAAACCAACAGGATCTATAAACTTTCCACTTAAATTAAAAAAAAAAACAACCAAAAGCTAAGAAAAAAAAATTTACAACATAAAAAAGCAAAGTTATGATCTGCAGGAGTCAAACATAACTGTCAAGAGGCAGCTCACTGGACAGGTCCAGCCTGCAAGGGCGCGCTGTCGGACCCTGAGGTCCGGCCTGCAAGGGCGCGTTGTGTGACCACTGAGTCTGGCCTGCGAGGGCGCGTTGTGTGACCACTGAGGTTTTAGAGTTTCAATTAGTTGCCAACACTTAAAAACAGAACTATTTTATGTAAAAATCTATATTCCCAGCTTCTCTTGGAAAAAACCAAAAGTGGCTGTGGGGCCCTCATTTCTGTATGCTGTTTTCCACAGACCACACTGCTCCGTACTGTCTACAGCTTGCCTGCTTCATTCCTTTAAACCACCCACTTGCCCTCTATAGGCATTTGGGCCTTTGTTCTTGTTATTGTACAGATACTGCCCACTGGGCCAAACACAATAAAATTAGCTGTACGAGTAGTAAGCTGGGAAAGAAAACAGAACACTTATGGGATGGAGGTGACTGTCACCATGGCAATCCATGAAGCTATAGGAGTTATTGCAAAAAGACATTCAATTTTGAAGGGGAGGGGTAGGCAGGGAGAAAAGTGCAACAAGGAATGAATGGAAATCCGAAGTTTCTGTAAATTTCCATTAAAATTAATAATAAGAATAAAAAGAAGCAGGGGCAAGATGTTTGCCAGTATTCATTTGGCAACAATGAATATATGAAAATAAACCTCAAAAAACAAAAAAGCCACACACATTCAATCTGAATACGAAAAGCCAAACAAAACCTAGCTGAGACCAAGCCTTCTCCTAACGCGGCCCCCAGGGGCTCCCCTCCCGAGCTGGGTCTCTGCCACCACACGCGGGGCCCCGCATGGACACTGATGCCAGCCCGGCCTCTGGGGCAGGTACCTTTCCAATCTCGTCCTTCAGGGTGTACTGGTTCAGCTGCACACAGTCCTGCGAGAAGGTGGAGACGTGAGTTAAGCGCTGTAAAGAGCCTGACGATGGAGAATGAAAACTCCCACATGAAACACCGCCCGGCACCCAGCGTCACATCAGGAAGGAGGACACGGCCAGCCCCACAGACCCAACGGGGTGGCCCCGTCCCTGCCCTCTGCCAGTTGACCGCCACCCTGGCCGCAGAGTCTGAGGAGCGGGCAGGCGATACAATCTTTTTGGAAACCGTGGCTCCTGAGGCGAAGCCCAGCCAGCGGCCGTGTGACCGTCCGAGAGCCCACCTCAATGCTAAGGCGTTCTCACAAGGCGGGCCGGCCTCCAGCGTCACTTCCGGGGTTCTTTCTCTCGTTCACCACCGATGAACCCCTTCCAAGCAGAATGATTTTCTGGTTTGAATTTCCGATTGAAACTATGCATTTTTCAGTAACTGAAGACATTTTAAGTGCAAAAATACTTGAGGTGATGCAAATTTTCTTCTTTTTTAAATTTTATTTTATTACTTTTTTGTGTGTACCCTCAAATCAGATGTGACTGGGACAGGAGGAGATTGCCCCTCCTTCTCCAGCAGAGCATCTGGTGGATTCGAACCGCGCACTTCTGGGATTGCAGTTCAGCTTTTGGCCACTAGGCCACCAGAGCTCCACCAAGGTGACACAAATTTTTATAAATTAAAACCCACTGGCATCATGTCGATAAAGACCCCCCCATCGGGCTTCTTCCTCCCCTGCAGGAGAGCTGGCCGCCTTCTGGTTCACAGCTCAGCACAGACAACACCAGGGCGCCTTTGACAGAACTGTTGTTGAGTGCTGTCGAGTCAGCTCTGACTCAGCTGACCTCCAGCGGGGCTTCAGAGGCTGTCGATCACGTAGGAGGAGACTGTCCACCTCTCTCCTGTGGAGAAGCTGCTGGATTTGAACCACCTGCCTTGGAAACAACTCCTTCCCCCATGGACCACCAGTGCCCTCTCTGATACAACCAGCAGGACACAAGTGTCCAGAGAAGGCTCTGATGCTAGGATTGGCGAGAGGAGGCCAGTTTCTTTAGACCACAGTTACGTGCTCCTCAACCAGACGGCAGCCACACTAAAGGGAGATACGAACTTCCCACCAAACCCCAGGGGTGGGGGAAAAAATAGGTGGACACTATAAGCCCCTCAGGCCATGAAAAGGTTGAGTAATAAAAGCATCCACAGACAGATCTGGCCTCAGTCGCGTACAGTGAGACAATCTGAGAATGGCCCTTTGTAGACATCCTGCCTGGAGGTCTCGCCCTTACCAGTGTTTGCCACAGACCTCACCACTCTCTACTGTCTCACATCTACCCTGCCTTATTCCTTTCTGTTACCCCCCGATGACTGGCTTTGCTGAATCCTGCCCTGAGTCTGCTTCTGGGGAGCCCAAACTCACAGAGACACCCCCCCCAGGGGACAGAGATGGCCTAGGCATTCTGATGCAGCAGCCCGCTGGCTCACGCACCTGCATGCCTGTGATGGAGACGTGGTGGGACTCCACCGTGGGCCTGCGGGGCAGCCGTGGCGAAGACTGTGGGGACCCAGTGGGCGAGTAGGGCAGGGATGGGCAGACACAGCGCCCGTTCACGTCAGAGCCGCCGGGTGCCGAGCCACCCTGGGACCGCTCCTGCAGAGACAGCTTGCGGCCGGAGAGCTGAGGCCTGGGAGTGTGGAAGGGCACCTCTGGGCTGTCGGCCGCGCAGCCTGGCTCGCACTCCGTGACCACGATGAAGGACTCCATGCTCAGGCGGAGACTCAAGGTCGACAGGCCCTGCAGGGCCTCACAGGGCTTCTGGGCTTGGCTGCTGCTGCCCCCGCCCCCCAGCTCATCCTGGGGGGCGACCCGGTCACTGTTGGGCTGGCTAGAGACACATGATGACATGGTGTGGGTACCGGCCTCATGCAACTCACTGGGGCGCTCCCATCCGCAGTGACAACAAGCAGACTACCTGCAGAGAGAGAGAGAGAGACAGACAGACAGACAGAGAGAGAGTGAGGGGTCAGCGTCTGTCTCCAGCCAGTGACACAGGGAGGGGGCAGGACTTCTCCTCCCGGGCCCACTGTGCCAATTTCCACCCCGATTTGACACTCAGCAAAGATCCTGCCAGCCAGGGGGACAGCAGCTCTGGTCTACCCCGAAAACTGTGCTCCACACGCACCCTCCACCGGCCACAGCGTGGATTCCAAACACAATCGCCTGAGAGGAGAGAAAACTTCAACTCCCTGCCATCAAATCGACTCTGAGTTGCCTTCAAGGAGCTTGGCTGGAGCAGCAGTTTAAGCCTCCAGCTGCTAACAGAAAAGTCTGAGGTTCAAATCCACCACCTCGTCCTACAGGGTAGCTGGGAGTCAGAGTCAACTCGGCAGCAGCCAGTCTGGTTTTGGGGGGTTGGCTCTTCTTTAAGGAAACATGTCCAGGCCTTTGTGGGCATCACATTTGAGGGGAACCGTGAAGCACATGCCGCTCGCACTGACCAGGGACCTCAAACCCCTAGAAAAACCAACTACAAGAAAACCCCGACACAGCCCCCCCGCACTCCCCACATCAGGCCGGCCACTTCCAGCTCCAGCCGGCTGCCATGGAGTAGGGCTGAGCCCAAGATTGCCCGGCTTCCCCATTCTGTCAAAGGGAGTCCTAAACCCAACAGGTTAAGTGTCTCCTGACTCCACAGACAGCGGTCACCTCCACTACCACCGTCTGCCAGTCTGTCTGCACCAGCGCCTCGCCTACTGCTGTGACGCCGGAAACACCACCGCAGAGATTTCAAAGGCAGCCTCGGCCACTCGTGGGCAGCTCCGCGCCGTCCCCGGGGCCCTGAGAGTTGCCGGGTGGGGCGTACGCACACGAAGGGCGCTCTGGGGCTGGTCCCCGGGAGACGCTGCTCACCCAGGCTGCACGCTCCGCTGGTAAAATGAGCAGTGTCTTCCCGTACCCTTCGAGCCCTCTGCAGGTCAGGCGTGAGTCCACTCCGACCCCACGGTGGTCTTTTTTTTTTTTCGTGGGCTTTCTGAACACCGACTCCACAGGCCCTCACCTGCGCTGGGAGAACACGGTGCCTCTGACTCCCAGTGACCTGCACGGCCGAGGACCATCTCCCACAGGTACTCCCAGGCAACCGTTGATGGGGGCAGGCTGTCTCATCTCTCCCCGTGGAGCTGGCCGGCGGATTCGAACCACCAACCTATCAACCATCTGCTGGATGCTTAACTGCTGTGCCAACACTCATTTCTATCAGAATGGCACAGACAAAATGTGGCAGCAACACGACTCGTGTGGCCAGGTCTCCGGCCAGGGGTAGTGGTCACTCTCACGGCGGCGGCTGGAAGAGGACAATGGAGTCCCTGAAGGGTGCGTGTGGTGTCAAATCCCACAGCCCACAGCCCCTGACTTCCAGCTCCAGAGGAGGGTTCGTGACCTGCCAGGGCAGCTCAAACAATGATGTACAAGCAGCAAGATTGTTCCTGGGCAGAGGTTTTAAATAACCATCCTCAGGGGCAGCAGAAACAAGAGGAAGTGTGTCTGCCCCGGGAGAAAACTTCGACTGTGTTTGTAAAGCAAGCGGCTCTCCCGGTCCTAGCCTGAGTCAGCTCCAAGACAGAGGCTTGCTTCAGAGAGGACAGGCCCTGGTACCCCACGGCCAGCCCAGCCCAGGAACCAGGTGTCTGTGCACAGATCGGGGAGTGTCTCAGGAAGGAGGTGCAAAAGCTGAAAGTGTCCCAACAGAGGCCGTCCCAAAGAAAGACAGGGATGGGCGGGCGCCCTCCTCAACTCTTTCTTTCATTATCATGACAGCGGCGCCGGCCGAGGGGTGCACTGACTGCTGTATAAAGGCGTGCTACAAACCAGAACCCCTCAATGAGACAGAAGAGTCACAACTTCTTCTACGACCACGTGCACAAGGGGGCCGGGTGAACCCCTGAAATCACTGCCCTAAGAGAACACCAAACTGTATGCCCAAAACACCCCTGAAGGTTTCTTAAAACTAAACCACAGTCTAGTTTTAATGAGCAAAAGGTCTGTTCTAAGCTTAAAGCTTTTTTTTAAGAAATTGTTATTGTTTTTTTTTATTATTATTATTAAATTTTATTAGTTTTAATGAACATTTACAGGGATTTTGGGTTTTCATTCCTTCATTGCTGCACCATTCTCTCTACCCTCCTCCCCAGAACAAATTGTTATTGTTATGTGCCGTCGAGTTGCTTGCAACTCATAGCGACCCTATGTACAACAGCCCTAAACTCCGCTCTGTCCTGTGCCAATCGCACTGTCTCTGACACTCCCATCCCGATTACCCCAGTCACTGAATCAATCCACCTCATAGAGGGTCTTCCCCTTCTGCGCCATCCCTTCACCCTCCCAAGCATGATGTCCTTCTCCAAGGACCAATCTCTCCTTGCAACATGTCCAAAGTATGTCAGAATCTTTGCCTCCAAGGAGCTGCCCAGTTTGACCATTTCCAGTATGAATCTGTTTTCCTAGCAGTCCATGGTACCCTCAGTACTCTTCTCCAGCACCACAGCTCAAAGGCATCAATTCTCCTTCTATCCTCCTTGGTCATTGTCCAACTTTCTGATGCATAACAAGTGATTGCAAAGACCATGGCCTGTATCAGGCGCACCTTAGTCTCCAGAGAGACACCATTGCTCTTCAGTACTTTGGAGAGGTCCCTAACAGCAATCTTTCCCATCGCAATACGTCTTTTAATTTCCTGGCTGCTGGTGCCGAGAGTGTTGACTGTGGAGCCGAGCAAACTGAAGCTGTGAACCATCTCAATCTCTTCACCATCCATCCATTAAAATATTAGTTTTGTTTTTTGCTCTTGGCTGCAATCTCCTCCTTGTCACAGCACTTTTCCACTTCCTCCCGGGCTTTCCTGGTTCCACTCATTCCTACTATCTGCCTCCTCTCGCCATCGGAACTGTTCTTGGGTGTGTGAGTGTGTAAACGCTGTTTATACAAGTTGGCCGACTGTACGGAGGAGATGCTCCATGAACTAGCGAGACAGAATCCAAGTGGCAGCAGCTTGAAGATTAGCTTGGCCTCGGGGTGGCCGTACAAGGCAGAGAGGGGAACAGCTCTGAGAAGGCGGTGTGAACGGCTGTACACCGCCTCGCGTGCACCTCTCAATGAACCGCTGGCACATGCCTTGCTGTGTAGATTCTGTTGTTGTTGTGTTGATGTGCACCGCAGTGTTGGAACCGACCCACAGCTGACCGCCTGTGGGTTTTCAGAGGTGGTTAATCACATGGGAGGAGACTGCCCATCCTCCGCCTGCAGAGAAGCTGGCGGCCTCGAACGCGTGCCTCTGGGCACTGCAGCACAGCTTCTTGCCCCAAGGCCAGCAGAGCTCCCAAAACAACAAAATTCAATGGGAAGAGGGAAAAGAGAGGATCCCAGCCTGTGAGGGGAGCCGTGGTGGCTGTGTGGTTACACACTCGGCTGCCAGCCAAAAGGCTGACGGTTTGAACCCTCCAGCCACTCCCTGGGATAAAAATGGAATATTCTCCTTCAGGAAGGATCTGCAGCGTCAAAAACGCACAGAGGGTCCCCACGAGCTGGACCTGGCTGGAAGCCTCTGGGTGTGTTTTGGTTTCCTGGTGGGAGCAGAGGTGCGATTATAATCTAAGAGCATAAATCTGGGTGTGTTTAATAAAAAATAATAAAGAGAAAAAGAAGAACTGGAGGATGACAGGGTCATCAAGTCACACCCTGCGGAGGGGCAAAGGTTAGTCTCTGCCTTCCCTTCCTATCACTCTACCCCACCCCTTACTGCATCTGAGGAAGCAATCATTAACTGCCTTCACACTCCCTGCTCCACCAACCACAGAACCGAGCCAAGGTCAGCGTCTTCTGGGGCCCAGCTGCTCCTGGGGGCCAGTCCTTTCATGATCCTTCTCTCCTGGGCTCCTGACGTTCAAGTGCGTGAGCTCGCTCACAGTTCAGACATGCTGCCACTCTGCCTCAGTTTTCTCATCTGTGAAATGGGCGTCCACCCCACAATCAGGAGGATAGAATGGAGAAAAGCAGTCAAGCTCCTGAATGATGACACTGCTGGGCACATTCCAGAACATTCTACAAGGGACTGGCCGTTTCAGCGTGGGCAGGGGCCTGGGCCTGGGTGTGAGGTGCCCATCCTACCCCCCAGGGCTGCCTCTGGTGGCACTGCTGGAGTTCCTAAAAAGAAGCAGAGGTCTGGCAGGGCAGAGAAATAGTCAACGGGATTCTTCTCCTCCGCCAAGAGAGAAACAATGGCTTATCGATTTGCAGACCAAGGGCACGGGCTGTCTGCCCAGTAGGGCTGCTTAATCAGTCTCCTTGGCAGGCGAGTGTCCGGCCCCCTCACACTTGGTCTCCAAGGACTGGGCGGGGGAGGAACGGAGCCTGGAAGGTCAGGTGTCTGCAGAAGGAACAGCAGGGGCATCCTGGTCTCAGGACAGAGGGACCTAGGGGGCCGGGCCTCTGCTCTGCAGGGCCCTAGAGGCGGCCTGGGTCTGCAGCCGGGCTGGCAAGGATCTGCCCCTAACTCACTGACCCCCGTCCTGAGGCAGCATGCTGACGGCTTAGGGCTCACAGCCCCTAACGGATGTGCACTGAGGTACCAGGGCTCGGCTGACCCTGCCCGCAGCCCACTGCCAGCCCGTCGGCTCCCACATGCAGGGCCCTGTTTCTGAGGCTGGAAACCTTTATGGGGCACACAGCTTCATCCTTCTCCCGAGAGCGGCCAGGGGGCTCGAACTGCCGAACCTTGATTGGCAGCCCCACACGTACCGCGCTACGTCGCCGAGGCTCTTCAAGGCTCTGCTCTGAAGAACAAACAAGAGGACGAAGCCCGTGTTTTCAGAGCCCCGAGATCACTGACATGTGTCGGCGGGACCCTCATG